TACACTTGGAATAACTTGAGAGAAACTACACTTCATGAAATCGGTTAGCCCTCTCTAGAATAATCTAGTGGCCGATTTTGGGAAGAATAATATCTTTATATAGTGTTACAATTAGGGTAAACCCTAATTGTCATGACTTTCCATTTCCTTGGATCCATGGGTTCAAATACACCATGGAGCATCCATGGAGCATCATATGGGTTTTGGCCCAACTAGATAATCCATGGAGCATTAGCCCACTATATAAGTATGGATGATTTACACAATCAACCCATATATTTAATTAGTCTTCTTTTGATCACTTAATTAATCCTACATTAATTCTTGATCAATACTAATTAAATAATCTTATTATTCTTATTATTAATATACTAGAACTTATAATATATTAATAACCATAAGTGTCTTATTTCTCTCATTATAGTCTATCCAAGTGCATGATGCCATGCAACCCAAATGGACCATGCCAGGTCGGGTCAAGTCTTACCAATTATAGTTATGGACTTAGACATTAATCCAACAAAATCAGCACCCTAAACAAAAGTATGATGCTAAAATCAATGAAATTTAGTTGCTATTTACAGCACTATCGTACCAGATGAATGGAAATTAAAAAAAAAAAGTACATTGCAAGGAAATTGTTTGTAAGAGAAATTCAAAAGTAGAAGAAATATGAGACTTAACAGAGGGCTGACTTGGTGTGATTAACATGAATCCCTCTCTTTTTACCTTTAACTTGCTTATTCCCAGACCCATCTACAGTGACCTGATATGATTATAATAACCAGATCTTCACCGTGTATTAATTATTTTTTTGTATTAAAATTATATTTTACTTAGTATATTCTTCACGAAATTTCTATACACACATTTTATAAAGGTTATTTCGGTCAGTTTATCCTTACATGTGTAGCAACTGTGTAACATCCATGTCTTGTGAAAAAGCTCCTCAATGGGTCAGAAGCCTGCCATTTAAATAACAACTTTTAAAAGCATGAATTAAGCTCTCAGTTTATAAAAACAAAGTGGATGATGTAATCATCTTTCTCAATGAAGAACAATATTTATTTAACAACCTCCTATTCCAGAAATTTGAGACCCACATAAATAGAAACACCAAAAAATACATTAATAGTGA